GGAAGAAAATAATCATTTAGAGCAAGCTGAAGCTCGGTCATCAAGCCCTTACGATTACGAAAATTCCAACAGTGGGGGTAACATTGACTTGTCAGCTGCTATTCAAGCTGATGTAGATAAACATTGTGTAGGACTAGATGTGGATTGCAATTCCTTGCAACGTCTGAATGATATTGGTAGTTTTGCAAACAAGCCAAATTTCGGTTCTGAAAGTGATCGTCCTAAAGCGGATTCGTCTTGTACTTCTTTGTCGGGGTCATTGGTCGAGACCTCATCCGCGACAGCAGAACTTTGTAATTTGAATGAAAAATCGGACCTCGTTGAGACCGACGGTCGCGCGTCCGAAGACTCAAAACCTGAGAGTTTTAAACACTCCGTGTTTATAACCTCTACCATGGAGAATAGTAACAATGCAGTCGATAGCGTGCCAATGTTTCGTGATATAAGACATTCTGAAAATATTTTCAAATTACCAATAACTGAGCTTTCTTTTAATGGTACAATAAAGCATGTTCAAAAATTGAAGCCCATTGTGGATCCCTTGACAGCCCTGAGCACTGCAAATGCAGGTTTGGTGGGTTTGTCAGATAATAATGGGACAGAGAGTACAGAATGTCTGGCAGGCAGTAGTACAATTGGTCAATCTGCAGACAAATTCAGTTACCAACAAATCAGTGATATGAGTGATGACAGGCATACATGTGATGCTGAGAAAATTGATAAAACAGCTGAAAGTAGTCGAGATTCTCAATATGAAGATGCCAATTATAAAAAAGATTGTGATGCTGATGAAGAAGGGAGTAATGCTAAATGGAATTTAGAACAGAGCTACTCATCTATAGAGACATCTTTTGACAGTGGGGTTAGGTCTCCTGATATGTTCTCTGATGATGAAGAAGAGCCTAGTCCAGCTCCTGAACCATTCTGGAATTTTATTAAAGATTTTGAAACTTATGACAAAAAGAAAGTTAGGAAAATTGAGGTAATCCTGTTTAAAATACTTTAATGTTATTATTAAAACAAAATAGGTCAACTTGGATAAAAAATTGGTATTTTATTTATCTTTATATGTTAATATCTGTGGATCACAAATTATTATTATCTGTAATAGTAGGTTTTTATTACATATATTATCTTTTAAGGAAAATATACTATCCTTAATGAAGACTGAAAATTTACACTCCCACCTCACATTTTATATAATAAAGCATAAGCATAGAGTATAATTCTAAAATATATTATAACCTATAATTCTCAATAAGACATTTTAATATTATGTTTCTTTTCTAGGAGACTCTTCAAGGAATTTTACCACCACCATCAGTGACAACATTAAAAACAGATGTCACAGAAATGCTTAAAAAGTATTACTGCTTCCTTCCTGCCTTTAATGATGACAATAAAATCAACACTTTGGAAGTTAATTCAATGACACCAACCAAGAAGGTTTCTTTTGTCCACATTCCAACAACTTCTACTGAATCTTATGAAATACAAGAAAATTCTTCCAATGTAAATACAAAGAAATCTTATAATAGTAATATGGAGAATCCTGAATTAAATACAAGTATTAATGACAAGAGCATTGACTTGAAAATGTGCACTGAAATTGAAGTAAAGGAGACTTTATGGCCAGATGTTATGAAGTGCAGATATTTTGATGTGTAGTAAGTTTTGTATTTTGATTTTATATTATATACATTTAGACAATATTAGTTGGAATCTTTAAGAGTGAATAACGCACTTTCATTACCAAGTCAAGTGTCATTGATTAGTGAGGGGACATAAACATTGATATTTAAATAAAGCTGCTGGAAGTTGAAGTTTGAGCCAAATTATTATTTTTTTTCAAATTTTGTTTGTCAAACAATTAAAAATCATAATTATAAATTACTACATAAAAACTGAAGGGGGGGTCTTGGCATGTACTACGAGTGGTCACCGAGGGGAGGAAGGGGTCGAAAAAACAAAAAAATAAGTGACATAGTATGGGTATGTTCCCTAAGGCTAGTGTTGTGGCGATACACCGGCACAGTTTCGATTTTCTTCCAAACAGTACATATAAATTCATATAAAACAAATTGTTACTTCCTTAATGCTTACAATAAATGTTGTAATCAAGTGTTCAATATAATTATTGTTATTACAGTTACAATGTGTCAAGTTATAGAGAAAAGTATGAACTTTTACTTCAACGGTATATGGAGAGGTTTGTTGGTGGAGAAACTGACACCAGTGTAAATATTTATTCCGGAGGATTGCAGTCTCCGAGCAGTGCAAGCAAGCGGAAAGCAATGAGACTTAAGTATGTAAAACATTTTATGTTATTTTAAATTCTAAAACTTCGCCCGGGGGTCCCTTCGCGCGGATATGAAGAAAACTATATCCATCCACAAATTTTCATTTATTACATTAGTATGATTTAATATAGTTTTTATCTCTTCATCAAAAATTTTGGCAACTAAGTCATACTTGATAAATAACAATGTATATTTTGTAGGTTGTTTTTTTTTTTAAATCACAAGGTGGCAAACGAGCGAGCGGCCACATGAAATCATTGTTTTGTAAATATTTTATGCAATTGGATTCTCAATATATGTTAACAGTTTTCTAATTCATTATCTAGTTGGACAGTTCAGATCATTAAGTAAAACTATAAATTAACTAATTAGTAATTGCATACAATTTTAAGTGACAAATTTGTAAAGTAAATACTTGAAACATAACCTTAATGTAAGCTACTTTAAAGAAGCAATATATTTTCTTATTTCACTTGTATATAATTTTTTTTTACTCTGCACTGATTAAGTTGCGGATGACTAGTAGTTCATATGACATTAGCTGTTTATTTACAATTCCATTTAAAGACAAACATTCATCCGTCCATCCAAACATTTGCATCTATAATTTAAGTAAGATGTTTGTGATTTTTTTTGCTACATAGCATAGAGATCTGTATTTACATAATTATACAGAATGGCCCAGTTGAAGTCACCGGGACGTCGTCTTTCGCACTTGGCTCGTCGCCGGCAAGCATTCTGCAGTGCTGCCACTATCAATGAGAAAGCCCAGGCTTCCTCGGCTAAGATGGTGCTCATTGATAAAAAGTAAGTATTTTAACTTCTCTATTTCATGTCAAAATATATTATATAAATTTTTTTATATTCATACTTAACTTCAAGTTTATCCAAAACAAAACTCAATGAACTTTAAAACAACATATAGTTTTCGGTAGGTTTCAATAATCTAACATTTTAGTATAAAATATTTTCGTGTAAAATATTTTCATCAACATCACAATAACTAAACAAATATCTTTGAAGTTTCTTCCCACACAGGAAGCTGATAAATTCCGCCGAGAGGAAAACACGACGTACGCCTAATAAACGGACACCGACACGAAGGACACCAGGCAAAAAGACATCAGCTGCGACTCCAAAGACCAAGAGTGGAGGGTCCAGTAAGAAAAAAGCTATGAGAAGGCTATTAATGGATACGGAAAGCTTATCCCGTTCTCAGCCAACAAGAGAAACATTGAAGAGGGCTCTGTTTGTTAGTCCTGAGAATAGGAAAACTATACCAAACACCGCTAGTTCTTCCGTACCGCAGCAAAATAATAGATTCCGACGCGTATTATTTAGTTCTCCAGACCGTGCTGAGACTAAAAGTATGGATGGTACAATTAGCGATCATTTCTTTAAGCGTAAGTGTGAAGATGAACTAGACAATGGCCGGAGCAAGATAGCTAAGAGCTTGTCATTTGGCGGAGATACCTTCACCGTATCACAACCCGTCCCGTTCGACCGCAGAGCGTCTGAAATACTGACCACAAGGAATCCAACTGAATTAAACGAGATACATAAAAAGGTATGTATGAAAATTTTATTTTAATAATAAGTTGTTTAACTGCCATTATGGACCCTGAACTAAATTACTTACTGGTGAACCATTTTAAAGATTTTTTTATGTTTAGTTATTATGTACTTACGACCTTACTATAGCAATTAGATATAATACTCATTTTTCTTTTTTTTAGAAACTTTTATGGGCGGTGTCGGAGGCGTTGCGTGCGCGCGGTTGGCGCATGTCGTCGCCCGGTTTTCGGGAGAAAGCGGCGGCGCTGGCGCGGCTCACCAAGCGCTTGCTTACTCTGCCACCGCATGCCGCCAGGCTCGCCGCGCCCGCACTCTCAACATCAGAGACTATGCTCAAGTGAGTTACTTTAATTATTGTATACTAGCTGTCGGCCGCGACTATGACCTCGGAATTAAAAACAAAAATTTATAACATATGTGTTCTTCCAGGGTATGTTCTACATCTATGTCAAATTTCAGCGAGATCCAAACAGCCGTTCTGGATATACTTTCTAACAAATATCCATCCAAACATTCGCATTTATAATATTACTAACACTTCACATATGAAAGAACATCTGGACTGATACAACAATATACAGCTCAAATTACTGGGTCTAGAATGGTACTTAGAAAGGATTTTTAGAGTAAATCGCCTAAAAGTCCCTTTCATCTAAAGATTTTTACACCAGTTTAACCTTTTGTTTACAGATTAGCGCGCCAATATGTGTACGCTATCATCCAGGGTCGGACTGTGGAAGAATGTTTCCAAGATGAACAGATAAAGTTAGCAAATGAATCAAACAAAATATCCGGATACATATCGCCTAAAGCATATCATCAGATGAAGACGAGACAGGTGTCGGCTTCGGCCACGCTCACATCTCAAATCAAAGAGAATACTTGCTCAAATTTATCTATTAGACAGGAACAGCCAAAGAGCTCCTCCAAGAATATTTTGCAGGACAAATTAGTTAATATAGATTCTAATTCTAATAGCAGCATCGGTATCAGCATGCTTGATAAAATTGGCCTATATAAATCCAATTCGATGCCATCTTTCGAAGACGCTGCAAAGATGCGAGCTAGAAGACAAATTAGTTTTGACAGTGTTGACTTTCCGAAGAGGTGATGTGTGTAATGTGATACAGAATATATTTAGGAAAATTAAGTGTGCTTATAAACTTGAGTGTTGTCTGTCTGTGTGTTCAAGTATCAAAACATTGACATATTGTATGTTTAGTTTTATTAATTTATTTGAAGACATTCAATATTTTTGACATTTCAATTTTTTTTCACTCGTGTTACGTCTTGTCGACTTTGTGACAGCTAAATATTGGTGTATTTATTCATTTGCACCTTAAATTTGTAGTTTATAATATATTTATTGAGAGAAATATATCAAGATCATTTTTAAAACATTTGAAATTAAATGTTTGAATATTATGAATTTCCACAGCTTTTGTCTATGGTTTAATCATTATGTGTTCTAAAAGTTTGACAATTATTAATATTTAGGCAATGTCATAGTAATACCTCTATATTATTTTATCATGCTGTGCTATGCTTTTTAAGCATTTATGATATAGATTATAGATTAATAATAGGTTCCAAATATTAAGTACAATTGTTTGAAAACATATGCATATGGATACACTAATTGTAAAATAAAAAGAGCTTTTTGCATGAGATCTTGTTGGTGAGATGCTTATAACATATTATTTAAAAATTGGTTTTTGATTTGTTAAATACCACTCTTTGTTAATGTAAGTACATTTGCTTTTGATATAGTCAAATTTGTATATGTCTTAAAAGGTCTTAAAACACAATTATTCATCTGTTCGTATTTATAAGTTTTGACATGCATTAATGATGAATTTAATTGTAATTTCGTGTTTTGTGCGTAAAAAGCGCTTCCTTTTGTTGTATTTACTTTAAAGTTTAATTTGTTTTATGCACAATTGTCATTAATTTTGCACTGGTAACCCTGTTTTAGGTAAGTTGTGATAAGATGGTATTATTACATATATAATGCGAACTGAAATATAATTTTAGTGTGGACTTATCTTGTACGATG